GGAAGCGCCAGCTGGGAGCTGCACGCAGCCCTGGTGTCAAGCTGCAGAGACGTGGCTGGAGCTTCTGGCCTGGTGTGTGACTGAGGACCAGCAAGGCCCCATCTGTGCCCCTGCCCCCAAGAGCTTTGGAAATTCAGAACTGGGGTGGCTGGGAGGTGGATGGAGCTTGGAGCTGCCGTGCGGCCAGGCACCAGTGGGAAGAGGTGGTATCAGAGATCAGTCCTGCCACTCCCTCAAGAGCCTGTGCAGGGAGCAGGGAGCCTGTGCAGGGAGCCAGGCACTTCCTGCCCTCACCCCCAACCTGGGACTTCACCTCTGCCTGGAGCTGGAATGACCTAGTCCTTGCTGTATACCCCAGCTTCAGGCTTAGAGAGCTTGCTCTGGCTCGCCCAGGAGGGGGATTGTAGAGCTCAGGTTTGAACCCAGGCCTTTCGGGGTGATTTTATTACACGGCATTGTAATGTGTAAGCCTGCCCTCACCCCAGTACCCTCTCACCTGAATGGCCTCACCAATATGTGATCCATCTCAGCCACCACTGGCAGAGTACCTGCCACGCCTCCTCCTGGCGCTCACACAAATGCCAGCCCTGCAAGGCAGCAATTACTGATGCTCTTCTTCTTGTGATAGAATAAATATAACATAAAATTTACTGTTTTAATAATTTTTGAGTGTACAGTTCTGTGGCATTAAGTATATTAACATTGCCTTTATTTATGCAACTGAGGAAACCGAATCTCAGAATGGATCTGTTCGCCCAGATGGCACAGCCAGTAAGGGCACTGAGATTTGAACCCTGACCTCAGAGTCCAGATCTGTCTCCACAGTACCAGCTGCTTGCTATTGTCTGCCCTGAGTCAGGGGTCCCACCCAGAAGCTGGCCAGGACAGGCATTTCCAGGGGCAAGTACGAGAAGGCCTGGGAGGGGTGCGAGGGCCTGTGCCCACCCCTCGCTTGTGCCTCAGGAGCTGAAATTGCTTGACTAATCTGCTCTGCGTGGAGACCTGGCTTGCCTCCCACTCCCCAACCCTCTTCCCCTTCCAACCTAGGGTGAGAAAACCGTTTCCCCTCCCTCCTCCCACTCTCCCCAGGCCTTAGCAGCTCAGCCTCTGAAAACACATTGAGTGAGTGTTAAGTCTGCAGCCAACCCTGGCGGACTCCTTCAGGCCACACGTGCTGTTCCCCTCCTGACACCTCTGAAAGTGCTCAGAGGTGGGCAGGTGGCGGCAGCAGTGGGCTTGGCAGGGGGGTGCTGTTCCCAGGGTGCTGGGTGGCAGCCCTGCCGTCGCCAGCCTCATAACACTCATTCCTGCCTCCCTGTCATCAGGAGGGTGGGCACAGCGGGGCGGAGGCCAGGCCTAGCTGTTCTGCCGGCAGCTGCCACCTTCTGCCCCCGAGGGTCACCTCTTAGACTGGCAGGTGGTCTGACAGAGCTCAGAGGCCTTTTGAAGTCATCTGAGTGACTGGTTTTCAAATTATGCCCGCGGAGGGGCCTCAGGGATGAGCCTGGAGTTTGAGGGCAGGCTGGCCGGGAGCTGGCTGGCTGCCACCTTCTGACCAGTCCTGTTTTTATCTGTTTTCTATAGTAAGTTCCAAGTAAGGTTTTCTTTTTTAAAAAGTTTCTCTTGCTTAAAAAAAGTTTAAAAAAAAAAACACTAACTTTTTTCCCCAGATAAAGAAACAGAGGCTTGGTGAGCACTTGCCCAGAGTTGCTTGGGACCAGTGGCGGCTCCGAGCCGGTGCCAGGTCTCCCTCCTGACCGGGGCTTGGTTTCTTGTTCAGGCTCTTGCTTGTCTGGACTCTGGGCTGCTTTCACGGGGGAGGGGGATGCGGAACCCCCCTCCCTGACTCTTGGCCAGCTGACTGCACCCCCGCTTCAGAGCCCTGTGCCTGCGGCCCTCCCGGGCTCCCCAGTGCCTCGGCTCTTAGCCCCAGTCTGTGTCTCTCATGTCAACAGGGATGTCTGGGCGTGTGAATGTCAGTGCTGCTGCCACTCCAAGTGTGTCTCACACCCAAGCTGCTGCCACCCAAGTTGTATCCCCAGGGAGGGAGGGAGAAGGCAGGGCAGACTAGTAGGGAAGCCACGGCAGCCTGCAGTGGGATAGGGAAGAGGGAGAGAGAGACAGGGAGGAGGCAGATGCAGATGGGCAGGAGAGAGAGAGAAGTGTGAGAGGAAGCCGGAGAAAGAGGGAGACTCACACGCGGGAGACAGCGAGGAAGACCCAGAGAGGGGGCGAGATAAAGGTGGACATGGGGTAGGGGACGGTGCAAAGACTTGCAAAGCAAAGATGGAAAGGTAGTTTGTGAGGGAAATAGGAGAGGTGAGGAGAGATGGGGATAGGTCTGGCAGGAGACAAGAGGGCCATTAGAGACAAGAAAATGTCACCACACCCGAAGCTGTGGCGTTGTCACAGTGAGGGATGCGCTGAGCATTCAGTCTGGCACCAGGTCTGGCTGATGGATGTTGGGGGGCCCATTGCTGGCAGACTGCCTCCTCCCAGAGCTGGGCCCAGCTTTCCCTCAGGACCCTTGAGATGCGCTTGTCATGGCAACCCCAAGAGCCCGGTGTTGGGGGGTGGCCTTGGGCTGGTGCCTCTGCTGCAAACAGTCAGCTCCTGTCCACCAGGATTTGTGCAGAGGCAGAGGGATGGGCCAGAACCTCCTGCTGGCCACAAACCGGGGGGCTTGTTTTGGATCCAGTTTATTGAGGGGGCCCTAGAAGCTAGTAGACCTGACAAAGGTATGGGAGGGACAGCTGACCAGGAGCAGAGTCTAGCTAGATCTTGCTCTTCCCAGGATCAGGGGCAAACATGTAGGGCTCTCCTTCCTCTGGTCTCCAAACTTGCCCCCTGGTGCTGGTGTGTGAGAAGACTCAGGGAGACTTGATCAAGCCCCACAAGTTCAGGCCCCACCACACTGAGTCAGCTCCTCTCTGCCTCTAGAGTGACCTTTCCTTCCCCTACCCAGGGGATAGGGCTTCTCAGGGCTGCTTACCAGTAATTTGGTGGAGCAGAGGCTTTATGCCTGTGGTTTGCATGGCAGAAGGGGAGCGCTGTGGGCCCATTTTGTCTCAGGGTTCATGAGAATTTCAGCTCCATGGCTGCACAGGCAGTTAAGGGATGGGTAAGTCTATTCACCTCTCTGAGCCTGGGCTGTTTTATCTGTAAAACAGGAGGAACCTTCCTGCCCTGTGTGGTCATGCCACATGGCTGTGGGCAGGGGAGCCCTGGCTGCTCCCTGGGTGGTGGCTGGTTCTTATTCTCTTCAGAGTTTGTCCTGTCCCTTTCAGCTGCATAGCATGGGGCTGTTACCAGTTCAGTTCCTTCTCCCCGGTCCTGGCCGCAACAAAGAATGGAAGGCAGAGACACAATAGCAAACAGAGTGAAAGTTTTATTTGAATACCCACCAAGGGAGAAGTGGGCCAGAGTCAAGGTAGTCAAAGGCCTTGATCTGTTTGGTGGGAGGCTTGTATGTTGCATTCTAGTTAGGAGGTGCCTCCTTGACTGCCAAGGTGGGGTTATTTGATTTACAGGTTCATCTGTGTGGTCCTCCCTCACGGAGTGTCCTTTCCCTGGGCTGAGGTGTGATGTGGGCAGTGCCTAGTTCCGCTCAGTTGTGCCCCTGTTGGGATCTGGTTGGGGAAAAAGTTACCTCCCTGCAAAGCCTTTGTTGTCTTCACATGGGACCTGCTACCTGGGCAGTTTGCACTGCTTCTCCTTTGAGCCTTATTGTCCCTTTTTCCGGCTCATGCCTGTCTTTCTCCCTAACATGCCTAACAGAGCCGAGGGCCAGCACACACTCTGGGGCAGCCATTTATTCAATAATCAATTATTCAATACCTGTTAAGTACCAGGCATTGTGCTAGGCCCTGGAGACAGCAGTGACCAAGCCAGGTAAACACCCTGCAGAACAATAAGTAAGATGATTTCAGATATTGAGGGGTTCACTGAAGAACATAAAGTCCCATAACACAACACGGCACTGTGACTGGGGGCGGGGGCCAGGCTCCAAGGAGAGGACTTTTGAGCTGCCAGTTGAAAGGAGTGGAAGAGCATTCCAGGCAGCATGCCGCAGAGCTAGGTCCAAGGCCCCGAGGCAGGCCAGGGCCGCCACACTTACAGACCCACCAGCCAGGGTGGCAGTGGTGGTGAGACAGCGGCAGGCCTCTGAGAGGAGCCGCCGGAGAAGGTGGGCAGAGCCAGCCCAGCGGGGTCTAGGCCGCGAGGGTGCGGCCTCTGGAGCGTTGTGCCGGGGCATGGCAGGGTCTGACTGATGTCTTGGAAAGCTTTCTCTGGCTGTTGTGTGAGGTGCTGCAGGGTGAGAGAGGCAGCCTGGAGGCTCTCCCTTTAGGAGCAAGTGGGAGCCCTCCAGGTGAGAGGCCATGGTTGGGCTGAGGTGGGGGGGCAGGGTAGAGAGAAGGGGCCAGGATGTCCGTCCTCCCTCCCTCCTCCCCTGTCCCACTCGGAGAGCACAGTCCCTCCCAGTTGCCATAGATTAGGGGGTGGGGGAGTAGGGCTGGCTGCTGGGAGGGAATGTGGCTTTGTGTTTGGAAAACAAAGAACAGAGCTTGGGGCCCTCTTCTCCTTGGGGTGGGCCGGCTAGAGGCTGTTGACTGGACTAGAGGCTGAATCACAGGGCTGGGCTGGGCAGGAGCAGGCCATGCCCCCAGGCAGCAGAGAGGACCCCAGAGCCCTCGGAGGTTGCACTATGGACCCCAACCCCAACCTGCTGGGCTCTGCAGGGAAGGTGGTGAGGAAGGGAACAGGGTGAGAGGGAAATTGAAACCCCTCTAGCCTGCAGGCCAGGCCACTGGAGGGAATTTAGGAGAGAAGGCCCATAGCCAGAGAGGACCCTGGGCTATGGGGTTGGGACAAGGAGAGGGGGCAGATGTGTTTGGAGCAAATGTGGTCCCTGGGAGCTGTGCATGAAGAGATGAAAGAGGTTAAGGGAAGTCCAGCCTCCTGCCGTGCATGCCTGACCCAGCTGCCCTGCCTCTCCCCAGCCCTGCTGCTGACGCCTGCATCCCCGCCTGAGGTGGGGCCCATCAGGATGAACAAACTGTCTGGGGATTTGGAGCGCAGCCTGCCAGCTGTGGCGTCCCTCAGCTCCTCACTGCCCCCCAGCCAGGACCTCTCCTCTCACTTCCTCCTGCCACCTCCTGAGAAGCACCGGGCCATCTCTGATGTCCGCCGTACCTTTTGTCTCTTTGTCACCTTTGACCTGCTCTTCATCTCTCTGCTCTGGATCATTGAGCTGAATGTGAGTGGGGCCGAGGCTGGGAACACAGGTGGTGTTGGGGGGACACCCACGCCATCTGCCATATGGGGGTTGCCTCTTCAGTGGGGTTGATCCCTGGGTAAAATGAAGAAGAGGAAGATAATAAATCTTCCAGAGAAAGAAAGTAGAGCTCCGAGGTTATAACTATGGGGTGGGGTGGGGGAGATCCGGGGCAAAATACCTTTGATACCAAAATCAGTCAAAGGGAGAAATAAAGTGGGAGAAATGCATTTATTTCTTACAAGCAGTTGTCCACGTCTGCTCTCCCATGTCTCTTGTGACTGGATTGCAGGAGAAGAGGCCCCACCCAACCTCTCTGGTCCAGAAAAGCCCTCAGAAAAGCCCTGCACCCTCTTGTAATTACCCGTTGATACAAAGATGGACTACTTCTCTCCATCCCTTGGAAACACCTATTGATGTGGAGATGCACTAAGACCAGGCGAGAGATTCTGGAAATAATGCAATTTTACTCACAGAGGGGTTGAGTCATTTGTGCAGGTCTCAGCAAGTCTGAAGGAGGCACAGTTGAATCCAGACCCTGTGGCTCCAGAGTTCACACTCGACCCTGGGACACACTGCCCTCTAGTGGACATTCCTGAGAAGGGAGGAGATTGCCCAGTGGACTCTGGTTGAGCTATTGAAACATTGTCTTCTTTCTGCCCTGTGTTGCTTTCTGACTCCATTCATTCATTCATCAAACATTTTCTGAGCCCTTGCTGTGTCTCAGGCACTGCGCTAAAAGCAGAGGGTGCAGGGAGGAGCAAGCCAGTAAAAACTCCCAGTTCCCAGTGGCTCCCAGCATTCTCCCCATTTTGGATGCTCCTCCAGTGCCCCACAGTTTGGCCTCCAGGTTTGGTGAGATACCACCTAGCAGCCTGGAAATGGAGCTGCCTCTCAGCACTGGGTCTGCACTGCACCCCCCTGTGTAGTGCTGGACTGGCTGGCAGTGCAGCCTCATCTCCAGGGTAGAGCTGACGGGGCAGAGCAGGATCTGGCCACAGAGGAAGGAGCTGTGGCAGCAGGGCATCCCAGGCTCAGTCAGTCCCAGCAGCTCCTCTGTATTAGCTCTGTGACCTCAACAAGGGACTCAGCCTCTCTGAGCCTCCTCTTGTTTTCCTTCTGCAGAGTGGGTCGGGATTCTGGATGTATGCTTCCTCCAGGTCTCAAGCTTGAGGGACAGGGAAACGATGGCCACTGATGGAAGCGAGGAGTTTAGAGAGGGGGTTGTTTTGGGGTCGAGGAGGGTAAGTTTGATTCTGGGCATGTGGAGCCATAGGGTTTTGGGGGTGACTGTCTTTGTGCACAGAGATGAGCTGTCACCTTCAGTGAGATGGAATCACTGCCACGAGGACCTTAGGGACCATCTCACAGTTGGAAAAGCTGAGGCCCAGCAAGGTTCAGGACTGTTTGGAGAGCTTCCAAGGTCTTAAGCCTTCTTCCTTTGGAGGTCCCATCCAGCCTCAGAGCAAGCACTGAAATTCACCCACATCCTTCACTCAATATATATTTTCTTGCCAGAAAAGAGCTGACAAACTTCTGCAAATTTCACTTCTGGAATTATCTGGACATATTGGCTGTTTCTCTCCATCCCTTGGAAACACCTATTGATGTGGAGATGCACTAAGACCAGGCGAGAGATTCTGGAAATAATGCAATTTTACTCACAGAGGGGTTGAGTCATTTGTGCAGGTCTCAGCAAGTCTGAAGGAGGCACAGTTGAATCCAGACCCTGTGGCTCCAGAGTTCACGCTCGACCCTGGGACACACTGCCCTCTAGTGGACATTCCTGAGAAGGGAGGAGATTGCCCAGTGGACTCTGGTTGAGCTATTGAAACATTGTCTTCTTTCTGCCCTGTGTTGCTTTCTGACTCCATTCATTCATTCATCAAACATTTTCTGAGCCCTTGCTGTGTCTCAGGCACTGCGCTAAAAGCAGAGGGTGCAGGGAGGAGCAAGCCAGTAAAAACTCCCAGTTCCCAGTGGCTCCCAGCATTCTCCCCATTTTGGATGCTCCTCCAGTGCCCCACAGTTTGGCCTCCAGGTTTGGTGAGATACCACCTAGCAGCCTGGAAATGGAGCTGCCTCTCAGCACTGGGTCTGCACTGCACCCCCCTGTGTAGTGCTGGACTGGCTGGCAGTGCAGCCTCATCTCCAGGGTAGAGCTGACGGGGCAGAGCAGGATCTGGCCACAGAGGAAGGAGCTGTGGCAGCAGGGCATCCCAGGCTCAGTCAGTCCCAGCAGCTCCTCTGTATTAGCTCTGTGACCTCAACAAGGGACTCAGCCTCTCTGAGCCTCCTCTTGTTTTCCTTCTGCAGAGTGGGTCGGGATTCTGGATGTATGCTTCCTCCAGGTCTCAAGCTTGAGGGACAGGGAAACGATGGCCACTGATGGAAGCGAGGAGTTTAGAGAGGGGGTTGTTTTGGGGTCGAGGAGGGTAAGTTTGATTCTGGGCATGTGGAGCCATAGGGTTTTGGGGGTGACTGTCTTTGTGCACAGAGATGAGCTGTCACCTTCAGTGAGATGGAATCACTGCCACGAGGACCTTAGGGACCATCTCACAGTTGGAAAAGCTGAGGCCCAGCAAGGTTCAGGACTGTTTGGAGAGCTTCCAAGGTCTTAAGCCTTCTTCCTTTGGAGGTCCCATCCAGCCTCAGAGCAAGCACTGAAATTCACCCACATCCTTCACTCAATATATATTTTCTTGCCAGAAAAGAGCTGACAAACTTCTGCAAATTTCACTTCTGGAATTATCTGGACATATTGGCTGTAATAGCTCAGCACTCATCATGCATACTGGGGAATTGTTTCAAAGCAAGAAAAATCTAACATTCAAATTGTTTGCAAATGTAAGGAAAAGTTTCAGAATGCTGGATTTAACAATTAATAGAGTTAAAATAATACTCCATCAATTTTAATTAAAATATTACTGATTTTCAATTTTGTAGTTTTATTTTCATATTTTGGAGCATGTATGTTTTTAGTTCTCTAACAGACTCTGTGTTGCCATCACATGCAAGGACCTGGGTACAGTCTTGTAGCCAGAGACTGACAAAGCAGGGACTGAGCTCTGCTCCACTGAGTCCTGGTCCTATCAGGGCAGGTGGGTACCCACAGAGGGAGAGTTCTCTGTAAAGAGGAAAGGGAGGAGGCCAGAGCTCTGAGGGACAGCCCACCATTAGGGGTGGGGGGGCCTGGAGCCCAAGAGGGAGCAGTCTGAGGTGTGTGAGCGGGGCTGAGCTGGGATGCGGTGGCTTGTCAGGCCAGGGGCAGGGGGTGTGGGATTCCACAGGCTCAGCGTGGTCTGGAGGTAGAGGCTTGTGGAAGGGATGTGCTGGAGCATTTGGGTGTTGGTGAGGAGGCTATCCAGACTCCTGACTCCTGCCCTGAGCATCCGAATCACCTGGGAGCTTTATAAAGATTCCAGATGCTTAGCTCACCCTGAGTTCAGACTCTGGTCTAAACATCTGGATCTTTAATAAGCCCCCCCCGCCACACCCTGGCCCAAATTCAGATCACCTGGTCTAGGTGGTTGTGAAGAGTCCTCCGCCTCAGGCTCCCCAGCTCCCCGGTTCCCCAGAGGCCCCTTGTGCTCTTCTTTTCCTAGGGGGCTGGTGCTCCCGCCTGCAGAAGCCAAGGTCTGTCACCCATCCCTCCTGAGGGATCAGGCCACAGTCTGGCTCTCGGTATCAATCCAGACCCCCTCACTTCCTAGCCAAGGTCTCAGTGGTCCTACTGAAAATGTGTGGGTGGCCAAAGCTGGGACAGGGGTCAGGACAAGTCTGCTCACTTTGTCTCCGTTGCTGGCCATCCTCTCCCACCGCCTGATGGATTTTGCCCATTAAGCACAAACCTAATCAATTGATTTGCCACCTGGGGCTCTGTCTGACACCACTCCCCACCCCCAGCCCCCATTATTACCCCAGATGGATGGTTGGTGGGAAGGTGCAGCACAACAGTGATGGGGGGGAGAATAAATTATGTGAAAAGAGGCAGGCTCCCGGCACCCTGCCTGCCAGCCCTGTCTACCTGCAGAGGGCCCGTCACCTCCTCTGCACAGCCCCAGGGCCTTCCAAACCTACCCCTTCCTGTGGGTGTGCCCACCAGTGTCTGAGCTGCCTGGATCCTTACAGGAACCTCTAGCTGAGCTCCTTCGGTGCTTCGGCGGCTTCTCCTCCAGGTTCCCCCTTCGCCTCGCGCCGTTCCTATTCCAGGAGATGAGGGGCAGCCCTGGGACCTGGTTCTGCCTGGAGAGCTGTCTGCATCTCCCTTTTCCAGACTAACACAGGCATCCAGAAGAACCTGGAGCAGGAGATCATCCACTACAACTTTAAGACCTCCTTCTTTGACATCTTTGTGAGTGACCTGAGGGGACCCTGAGGGCCCTCTCGGGCAGAGAGGGAACTGGGGACAGGACTCGGGCTGGATTCTTTTTTTCTGCCACACACATCCTGACCTGATTGGGGAGCCCTCAGTATTCATAAAAAGTTTCTAAATGAAGCCACAAGAAGGTCACATCCAAATTGCCCCAAAGAAACTGACAGCCATGCTCTCCTGAGGTGCGCACCCCCATGTGGAGGGAACCTGGGGCACAGGCCTGGAGGGCGTCAGCGTGCAGCAGGCGTGGGGCACTGGTTGGCCTGGGATGGCGTCTCATCTCCCTTCACCCTGTCCAGGTCCTGGCTTTCTTCCGCTTCTCGGGACTGCTTCTGGGATACGCTGTGCTGCGGCTCCGGCACTGGTGGGTGATTGCGGTAAGATGCCATTCTCCCGGCAGCTCTCGTGTTCTGGGGGGGCAGGTGCAAGGGATGGGGTGGAGGAGGACTCACTCCCCAGTCTCTCTCCCTCCTTCCCTACCCTGGGCAGGTCACCACACTGGTGTCCAGTGCATTCCTCATTGTCAAGGTCACCCTCTCGGAGGTCAGTGGCTCAGGGTCTGGCTGGTCTGGTAGGCATCTGGCCCAAGGGATGGGTTTCTCCTAAGAAGGGACCATTTCTCTGATTTGGGATATTGTCAGGGTTGGACTCCTGAGGGGGAGTCCTATCCTTCCATATTTCCAAGTGTCATCTTCACTGGCTTCCCCACTTGCCCCACTGCAACCCAAGAACAGTTGGAGGTTAGGCTTCCTTTAGCCTAACCTTCATTTATCCTGCTCAGAACTCATCAGTCCATCTCAGGGGCATAGGCCATGGAGGGTCCCCAAGCAGCTGGTACCAGAAGTGGGTATATATCTGAGCTGGTAGCCCCGAGAGGGGAATCTGGGTTTGGGGTGACCCCTTGCCATGGAGCTCAGCCCCCTCCCTCCACAGCTGCTCAGCAAAGGGGCATTCGGCTACCTGCTCCCCATCGTCTCCTTTGTCCTTGCCTGGTTGGAGACCTGGTTCCTTGACTTCAAAGTCCTACCCCAGGAGGCCGAGGAGGAGCGATGTGAGTGTTGGGGGGTAAAGGGGTGCAGTGAAGATTATCCTAACCCCGAGAGAGGAGACTTGCATGCATGAGAGCCAGTTCTGAGCTATGTTGCCGACTCTGAACAGCCTCCGAGAGCCTAAGAGTGAACTTGGGGCAGGGGAGACCCCTGGCTGCTGAGGTATGACAATGTCTGCCCATACCCGCTCCCCCAGGGTATCTTGCTGCCCAGGCTGCTGTCGCTCGTGGACCTCTACTCTTCTCTGGCTCTCTGTCTGAGGGCCAGTTCTATTCACCCCCGGAATCCTTTGCAGGTGAGGGCTGGTGGGTGGGGGAACTGCCTTCAGGGAGGGGCTTGATGAGGGGTGGGTTGGCTGGGTCTGTTCTTTCTGTTCCTTCTGTCAGCTCCCTGGGGAAAGAGACCGATACCTTTCCCACACACACTCATCCCTCACATCCTCGCACTTGTACTTGAACCCCACTACCTCCCCACAGTCTCTCCCCACCCCTTCCCATTGTCATAGTGCTTGTTTTCTGCAGGGTCTGACAATGAATCAGAGGAGGAAGTCATTGGAAAGAAAGGCTTCTCTGTGCAGGTATTTGGCAGCCCTCCCCCACCCTGCCTGTGGGCACCCAGAGAAGGGCCAGTGCGGGCTCAGCCTGGGTGAGCAGGGGCTTCCCAGCGGAGGGCAGGCCTCAGGCAGCCTGAATGCCGGTGTCCATCAGAGTATCTGCTTCATGCCTGGGGCCCAGGGGGAGCAGCACAGCCAGAGCGCCTGGCCCAGGAGCCCCACAGGGCCCAAGAGACCAGCCCGGACCCCACATCTGGCTGGGTCAGGCTTTCATAGGGGTGTGTGGGGTGTCTGGAGAAAGAACTGACCGTGATCCTAGTGGGGTGCAGGCCCCAGGCTGACCCTTCCCTGCTGCCCATCCCTGGCCAGGAACGGGAGTACATCCACCAGGGGAAGGAGGCCATGGCAGTGGTGGACCAGATCTTGGCCCAAGAGGAGAACTGGAAGTTTGAGAAGAATAATGTAAGAACCTCTGTTCCACCTGACCTACCCTGTGTGGTGGGAGTTTTCACTCCCTTTTCTGGGGCCTGAACAATAAACCCAAGGATTGCACAGGTTGGAACCATGTCCCTGTCTCAGGAGAGAGGCTGGGCCCTGGGGTCGCCACTTGGCAGGAGGCCGGGGACTGGACGTTTTATTTCCATGCTGCTCCCCACTGCTTCCCCAACACCCTATTCTCCCCGCTGTGCCCCCCCGCTCCCTCAGCTTAGCTTTGAAGGGGAAGCCAGGCTTCTGCCTTATGTCCAGTGTTTTGTTTTCATGATCAAAACAACATTATCTAAAAAGGTGGCAGAGAGCTTGGAAAACAGGGAAAATATCCCTGCGCTGTTCTCCAGCTAGTTTTCTGGCAGCGCTTATGGGCCTGGAGACACGGTTCTCCATGGTGGCAGCTGCAGCCGTGCTCCTGTCTTTTAACTTGATATCAAAAGCCTCTCTCCTTGTTGCTGGACATTTGTTAGAATCACTGTTTTTGAACAGCTGCTCAAATATCTCCAAACTCCTGGAGTTTCCTACCCCAAACTGCTGAAAACCTGCCCTGCCTATCACCCCTTTGTGTGCCGCCAGCCCTCCCCACTCTCTCCGCCTCCCCCTGCCCTTCCCCCACCTCCCTGCCACCCTCTGTCCCTGCCACAGGAATATGGGGATACTGTGTACACCATCGAGGTTCCCTTTCATGGCAAAACATTCATCCTGAAGGTGAGTGAGGGAGGCCAGTGTCCTGCAGTCGCCTGCTCTGTCTGGGACTCCAGGAATGGGTTGAGGGCCCCTCTGGCGTGTTTCTCCCCACCAAGAGGAAGGGGCTGGTGTGCTTGAGCACATCTGGTACAACCCAGCCCTCCACCTGCCCTGCCCCAGACCTTCCTGCCCTGCCCTGCAGAGCTGGTATACCAGGAAGTGATCCTGCAGCCTGAGAGGATGGTGCTGTGGAACAAGACGGTGACCGCATGCCAGGTGAGCAGAGCCAGGGGCCTGGCATGGCCACTTCTCAGGGCAGAGGAAGAACAACATGACAGAGCAAGGCCAGTCATACCCTAGCATGATCATTTACACTCTGGAAATCTGGGTCATGTCTTTGAACTGCTGTGTGCCTCAGTTTCCCAATCTGTAAAATGGGGGTGATGGTAACAGACTCCAGAGAGAAATGATGGAAAGAGAGTGTTCATAGAGCACCCAACCTGGAGCCCGTGAATGGGAACGACGTTAAGAAAGGGACCTGGGCAGAGAAGAGGCTGGCCTGGGGTTTCCTGAGGTACTGGGAGCCCATCCCTTGCGTCTTCCTTGGCTGGGCTGCACCTCATGTCTCCCTTGATGGCCCACAGATCCTGCAGCGAGTAGAAGACAACACGCTCATCTCCTACGATGTGTCTGCAGGGGCCGCGGGTGGTGTGGTCTCCCCCAGGTGGGTATCACCAAGCCCCCCTCTCTCACGCAGGCCTCCTGCCCTTAAATCTTGGGCTTGGCTCCCCTGATCTAATCCTCCCTCCCCAGGGACTTCGTGAATGTCCGACGCATCGAGCGGCGCAGAGACCGATACCTGTCATCAGGGATAGCTACCACCCACTGCAGCAAGCCCCCAACGCACAAATACGTCCGGTGAGCCTTGCTGTGCCCAGGGTCATCCCAGTTGGGCCTCCCCTGATGGTTGTGAGGGCAGGACGGTACGGTGTGTACAGCTGGGTGCTTTCTCCTGCTGAGGCCACCTTCCTGCTCCCCTGTTCCTGGGATTTGCCCCTCTTGGCCCCTAATCCTACTAATCTGCTGCTCTGTCTGCTGGAGACTGGGGAAATAATGGCTGGAAGCATGCCACCCAGGCTGCAGGGAGCTCCAGGGGCATGCCGTGGCTAAGGGCCAGGCCGGGGAAGGCAGGCTGTGCTGTCCTGGGTGACCTGATCAGGAGGCTCTGCCTGCTGGAGCTTCCCCTTCCTGCCGAGGAGTCAGTCGCTTCATCCTCCTCTCCTTGTCCCTGCTCCCTTGCCTTTCTTCCTGAGCACTTGGAAGTCCCCCCAGAAGAGGTGTTACAGTCTCCCTGCTGCCTATTTCGGGGTATCCTCCAGTTCTGCTGTCTAATCTTAGACTCCGGGGCTGCAGGAGGCCTCCTGCTAGATGCCCCTCTCTTCCCCTTGGGGCTCCACAGAGGGCCCTGTTCTGAGTACAAGATGGAGGCTCTGGTCTTGGCACCACCCTCGACTTCCTGGGTGACGGGCAAGCTTGTTCCCTCTCTGGGTGCCAATATCCTGGTCTATTGAATGGGCTTAGAGTGCTCAGTGGAGTTGTGGGCAAATTAAATTGCCACTGGATGGGCACCAGAGAGCACAGACACTGTCAGCCTCCTGAGAAGGTGCCCCCTCCTGGAGCCCACCGGCACTGCACTGCTCCTTGGCTGGGCCCAGCCCACCTCTTCACAGCCAGAGCTGACCTGGAATCCCTGGACAGAGTAGATGAGGCCCAGGAAACTGCTGAACATCCTGCCACTGGGGGTTGTGCAGACATCGCAAGCTGTTGTGGGATTTGAGCATTACGTGGTGGGGGGGGGGTGGAAGGCTGTATCCTGTGGCATCAGGACACCTATTCTGGGCCCTGCTTAGGCAGGGTAGCGGTTACAAGACCAGTAGTTCCCTTCCACTTCTACCCCAGTGCAAGATGGGCCGAAAAAAGGGGGTGGAGGTGGTCAGAGGCCTTGCCTGCTTCCAGTCCCCTCCAGTGGAGCCTTTCTCTTAGGGGAGAGAACGGTCCTGGGGGCTTCATCGTGCTCAAGTCAGCCAGTAACCCCCGAGTCTGTACCTTCATCTGGATCCTTAATACCGATCTCAAGGTGGGCTCCGGGGAGTGGAGGGGATGTGCTGGGAGACCTTGGAGCTCCCTGTCTTGCTCGGGGCTTCCCCTACTCTCCATCTCCTTTTTTACTCTAAAATTTGGGGCAGGGTCCAGATGGTCTCACCCTGAGTTGGTGGAGGGCCTGTGCCTCTCCTCTCTCATGTCAGACTCCAGAGGCCCTGAGGAGGGGTGGCTGGCTGCCAACCCAGCCCCTCCTGGGTCTGTTTGTGTGGCTGGTGCCAAGACCCAGCACGGCATGTTCTTCCTGCCAGGGGTTGGGGAGGGCGGCCTAGGCTGCATTCCAGAGCTGCACCTGCGTTCTGGCCCAGAGCACCCCCTGATGGTGCTCATTGTTGAGAGGCAGCACCTGCTGAGGGCAAGCCATCCTGGGACTTCTTCCTGCCTCCCCCAGGGCCGCCTACCCCGGTACCTCATCCACCAGAGCCTGGCAGCCACCATGTTTGAATTTGGCTTTCACCTGCGGCAGCGCATCGGAGAGCTGGGGGCCCGGCTGTAACCACGCCCCTCGCTACCCTGCGGGCCAGGGTCATGTCGCCACAGCCTCCAGAGCCGGAAAGGGGCCAGTGGGGCTTCCACTGCCTAAGAGGACCTGACCTCAAGTAGTGAGGCGGGAGAGGCTGCACCCACGGCAGCACCTTGGCTACTACCCTCCAGCATGCCACGCCGTGGCCAGAGCCATGGCTGCGAGTAGGTTGTGGGGTTGAGTATCTGGACTCTGGGGCTCTGCCACTGAGGAAAGTGGGGACTTTCCAGCCAGTGTTTACGTGGTGTCTCTGCCCTCTTGGAGGGGGGACCCTCTGTCCCCTACCTAGCCAGGAACAGGGTCTGGAATGGGAGCCTCCGATTTGGCTGGGGAGGTCAGGGCTCTGGGCAGGATAGTCAGGGCAGCCCTGTCACCAGCGTTAAAGTGCAGGAGCCCCTTCCCCTGCCTACTCTGTCATCGTGGTTTTAAGGATTATTTAAAGGGTCTGGGACCTTTGTCCATATGCAGTTGTGGGGGAGGGGTGGCAGGTGAGGGTGGTGGGCGCTGGCAGTGATCCTCTGCCTCTCCAGGTTCTCTCCCTCCCCCAGGGCCTCCTTGGGGACCTTTGTAATTTGAGCCACTTAATAAAAACATGAACTAAAAAAATAGCAACCCCTCTGGCCTGGCCTCTTGAGGGAAGACAAGGGCAGCACTGTGGAGGCGGGAGGGAGGGTGGGGCCAGAGGGGACACTATTCCTGGAAACCCCCCCTTTTCTGAATGTTTCACCTGAGTGGATGACTGGTCAGAGAAAAATGCCCCATCCCCTCACCTGGCTGCCTGGGAGGGAAGGTCAGGTTAAGGTCTCTGGCCCCGGACTTGGGAGGAGATAGGAAAGACCTAGCGGTGCCCACAACATGCCTTGACTTTCTGGGGTCTCAAGGCTGGGGATGCCTGGAGGAGGGGCTGGGCTTCCAGGTCACTGAGGCACCTTTGGGATCTCTGCCTCTCTTCCCCTCCACTCGCCAGCACACTCGTGGTTGGGTAGCATAGATCCCAGCCAGGGCCACCAGGATACATGCCCTCCTCCCTCCTTGCCGGCAGGCTTCCAAGGGAACCAATTTGCTTGGAGCCAGGGGGCTCCCATCTTGGTCCTGGCTAAGTGTGCGACCCTGGGCAAATCTACTTCTCTGAGCCTCCATTTCCTGCTTTGTAAAAATGAGACTCATTCTGTCATAGGGCTGTTTCAAAGTTAAGATATCAGGAGTCAGGCACAGTACTTTAATAATCAGGAGTTAGGGTGCTCTGCTATCCCCACAAGGTCCTTATCTCCGCTCCTGTCACTGCCTCTTTGGTGCCCTTTGCTTTATCCACTCAGCAGTGCCCTCATTCCTGCTGCTCCCTGCCCAGAACCCTGTGTGCCAGCTCTTGCACCATGAGTGGCTACTCTTGGATGCTGGGCTGTCCCAGCAGCCATCCTGCTTTCCGGCTCCCCGTATATGAGAGCCAGGTCCCTCCCAGGGGCAGATGGGAGCTAGCAGGCACATTGGAGCTCTTGTCAGGTGGCTATGACCAGGAAGTGGGGAAAATGAGGCACAGAGAGGAGCAGAGAGTGACCCATGGTCACACAGCCTATTGGGCTAGAGCCAGATCTGACTGCCAGTCATCAGAGCCCCTGGATTCCCATCTCGCCCACTTTGGGTGCTGGGGGTAGAGCTGGGAGCCACCTCCCACACTTGCTCTTTCCACCTTGACTGGCCTGACTTGGGAAACCACATCTCTTGACCACCGGCTGTGGGAAAGAATACCTGGCAGGTTCGTGAAGAGGATCCACCGTGTGGAATTAACTTCCAGTCCCCCTGCTGGTGTGGTGGCAGACAGGGACCAGGCCTTCGGTGCAGACACTCGAGGGTATAGTTGCACTGTCCTTTTCTGTTGCGGCGCACAGTCAGGGGATGTGCCCTTGATCCCAGGCAGAGGAGAGCAGTGAGGGCAGGACCTGATGGCTTGTACAGAGCCCTCGGGGGGCCTTGGTTCCTGTCATTTCTGGCTCTGTTTATAGGAGACAAGCTGGTGTCCTTCCCGTGTGAAGGGGAAGGGGTGGGGCAGAGGGCAAGCACCAAGGTGGCACGAGGCTGGGCACGTGCCTGGTCCCAGACAGTGTCTAAGGGGTGTCAGACACATGGAGGCGTTGATCTGAGGACCTCTGTCCCCACTGGAGCATCTTGATCTCTTTGGAAGCTGACCTCTGACCTGGGGCAGCCAGAGTCCAGGTACCTCAACCCCTGCCCTGGGCATAAAGTCCCCCGTCAGTGAGCCTTGGCTCTGCTTATAGTATCTGATGCCAGAGGAGCTGAAAATAGCCCCTATAGGAGGGGGAGGAAGGGGCTATTTAAAGGGCCTGGAAGGAGTAGAGTCTCGAGGGGGTGAGCAGCGATCATGGCCACCTCAGAGCTGAGCTGTGAGGTGTCGGAGGAGAACTGGGAGCGCAGAGAGGCCTTCTGGGCCCAGTGGAAGGATCTGATGCTGTCCACACGGCCTGAGGAGGGGTGAGTGCTGGCCAGCGGGTTCCCTCCCTGCCTCCCCTTGAAGGCACAACGCCTTGGAGAGATTTCTGGGGATGGGCGCAGGGAGGACACCCACTTGGGAGAGTGGAGTCACCCCTTCTGCACCTCAGGTCCTGGCAGCCCCAGGGAGCTCCCCTCCCAGCCTGTGTCAGGAGGGTAACAGCTTTTAGGAGCTCAGTGTCCCCCTCCCCTCTCCTTCCTAGCTGCTCCCTGCATGAGGAGGACACCCAGCGACAGGAGACCTACCACCAGCAGGGGCAGTGCCAGGCGCTGGTGCAGCGGTCCCCCTGGTTGGTGATGCGCATGGGCATTCTCGGGCGTGGGCTGCAGGAGTACCAGCTGCCCTACCAGCGCGTGCTGCCACTGCCCATCTTCACCCCCACCAAGGTGGGTGCCAGCAAGGAAGAGCGCGAGGATACCCCCACCCAGCTGCAGGATCTGCTGGCACTGGAGACAGCCCTGGGTGGCCAATGTCTGGGGCGCCAGGACATGGCCGAGATCACCAAGCAGCTGCCCCCGGTGGTGCCTGTCAGCAAGCCTGGTCTTCGGCGCTCCCTGTCCCGCTCCATGTCCCAGGAAGCTCAGAGAGGCTGAGCAGGACTGTGACTCCGGCCCCACTGTGCCTGCCCTGGGCTGGGCCCCTCCTGGCTAGGACCACGGAGGGGAGCTGCTGGCCATCGATGCTTTGTAGTTTGCCCAAAGTTGGGGGCTAGGGGAGGAGGGAGCCAGAGGCCAAGATGCCTGGGTCCCCTGAGTTCCCAAAGGGAGGGGAGCAAAGACAGTGGAAACTAAGGGGGGAGAGTTGGGGGCCAGCAGGGCGAGTTACCCCAGCTCCAAGAGAAGGGACAAAGAGACTGGTGAGGGCAAGAGGTCGCTGAAGGAGGGACACTGGTCCAGGTTCCAGATTCAGAGAAAGACGAGGAAGAAATATAAGGGGATCTAGGATGCTCTTGGGAAGGAAGCTCGGAGTGGAGTGAGGGGGACATGAAGCGGGCAGAGGCAGGGTGGGGCCCCCAGCATCCTCTGTTAGTGCTGCAATAAATGCTCAGTCATGTTCCAGAGTGCTGCCTCTTTCCTTGTGGGGCCCAGCCCATTGGTGTCCCCCCGCCCCCACGCTCACTTCAGGGCATGGACCCTGCATCTGAGCTAAATATGGCAGAGCTAATGGATGCACTCCATGTTTGGGGGGTGCAGAGACAGTTATAAACAGGGTGTCTGGCTGGCCAGTCCCCCTTCCATAACCTGGCTCTGCTGTGCAGTCCTGGCCTCTGTGTCCAGTCCCCTGGCACTGGGCAGTGCCCAGCAGGCCAGCTGGCATGTGGGGCTTGTTTATGATCTCTTGGAGAATATGGAGGGGGCTGGCACAAGACTGTCCTTGGCGGGGCCTCAGGGTGTAGAGGGGGTCAGTCACCCCACGGCTGATCTGCCTCTGAGTTCCGAATCCAAACAGAATTAATCCTTGGCCGGGCCTAGGTGTTCTACCTCTCTGCCCTAGGAGCCCAGGGTGGGTTCTTAGGCATGGGAGGCAGACTCCTGTCTGACCCCTGCAGCTGTTGTAGTGACTCATGTCCCAAACTGGCTGCCTGGCCCACACGGAGATGCCTTCCCTTGGGACAAGGTGAGGGGGGGCGGACACAGAGGAGGCCAAAGCCCATCTTGGCAGGAGCTGGTAGCCTACCCAGGGCAGAGGGGCACTGGACTGACCCAGAGGGGTCCCACTCCAGAAAGACCATGGAGATGGCCCTGCAGAGTCTGCTTCCCATTTGGGAGTAGGGGACGGTACACCCTGGCATCAACAGCCTGGTACCTGTAGCGCCAAGCAGGAATGCAGGCTGGGGCTGGAGGGTGGGGTGGGTGAGGTGTGAGATTTCAGACCTCAGACCGGTGGGATCCCAAATCCCTCGGCTCCGCCCGTGTCCCCTGGTGGCTTTGGCGGCCTGGAAAGGACGCCCTGCGCCCTCCTGCCCTCACCTGGGTCCTGCTCCCCCCACGTGGCAGGATGTCTGACCCCAGATAAGCAACTGGGAGCCCCCAGGGGAGGCCGGGCCGTTCCACCGCTAAGCGCATTAGCCCCGCCGACGGGCCCTATCGCAGCTGCCATCGGACGGGCGGGGCCGGAGCTCCGCTCTGGGGCCCCCGGGCGATCGCGCGGAAGGCCGGAACGGACTGTCCTTTCTGGAATGGGGGTGGCGGGCGCTAGAGGAAGGGGTGGGGTAGGAAAGGATGGAAGAGAGGCCTGGGGGAGGGGCGGGGAAGGGGAGTCGGGGGGACCTTACTAAGGGAAGGGGTGGATGTGTGGCAGGGTGTCCCGGAGTCATGGGAGCCTGGCCGGGCATCTGGGCCCTTGAGGGAAGGGCGCTGGGAGGTGGGCACAGAGGAAAGGGCTAATTTGAAGCCTGGCAAAAGAGAAGGGATGGGATGCCCGTTCGGAGGAGGGAATGGCCCGGGGAGCTGGGGAAGAGCGATGGGAGGAACGGGGCGGCGGGCAGGGTAGGAGGCGGGGAGCAGAGGCGGTTCCTGGGCCCGGCCAGGTGCGGGCAAGAGGGGGAGGGCTCCGGAGCGCCCGCGGGGCAGGGGCGGCAGGGATGCTCTGCGGTCACGCACCCCCCCCGCGCCCCGCGCCCCGGTGTGTCTGCCGCTCGGACACTAACGCAGACGGATGGGTGGGCGGGTGAGAGACGCGGCGCGCTTGGCCCCAGGCGGCGCATCGCTCAGCCGCCGCCCCCGCCACGAACGGGTCGAGGCGCGGGTCCGGCGGCAGATAAAGGGGCCGTGAGGCGAGCGGGGGCCGGCGGGCCGCGGCAGCAGCATGAGCGTGGCAGACCCGGGTCCTGCTGCGGGCGCGGACCCCGACGCGGACCCCGGCCGGGCGGCAGCGGCCTCCGCCTACCGGCGCTTCGAGCCTCGCGCCTACCTCCGCAACAACTACGCGCCCCCTCGCGGGGACCTGAGCAGCCCGGACGGGGTCGGGCCTTGGAAGCTGCGCTGCTTGGCGCAGACCTTCGCCACGGGTGAGCGCGGGGACACTGGGGCCCGAGGACAAGCAATCTGGGAGCTAAAGGCGCTAGAGTGAGAGAGCCGGGTAGAGACCAAGCGGCGGCGATGGGCAGCTGGGAGGTGAAAGGAAGATGGGGTGCGAGATCCCTTAGGCGAGCGGCAGTGAAGAGACCTGCGCAGAGGGTGTGGGGAGGAGGGAATGACCAGGATTGGGAGGTGAGGAGAAGCGGGGCAAGAAGTGGAGGCAGAGACTGGGGAGGGGAGACACCTGGGAGAAACCGCTGGCCACCCCGGGATCGCCCCCATTTAATCCTCGCCAGTGGGCACAGTTTTACAGATGCGAGCCTCCTTCCCAAGGTAGGTCAGTGCTGGGGCTAGGACCCAGAGCTGAGCTGTCACCCAGAGCTACAGCTTTTCCACATAGAGACACACTAACAGAGGGAGAAGTTAGAAAGGGAGCAAGGGGGTGACTGGGGCGGGGGCCCCTGTACAGGCCCAGCACCAAGACCCCACTCCTCTGTCCCACCCAGGCGAGGTGTCTGGACGCACCCTCATTGACATTGGTTCAGGCCCCACCATATACCAGCTGCTCAGTGCCTGCGCCCATTTTGAGGACATCACCATGACAGATTTCCTGGAGGTGAACCGCCAGGAGCTGGGGCTCTGGCTGCGGGAGGATCCCGGGGCTTTCGACTGGAGCGCGTACAGCCAGCACGTCTGCCTCATTGAAGGCAGGGGGTAAGGGGCCTTCCCATGGCCTGGCCTGTGGGGGGCAAGAGAGGCCTGGTCTTGACCCTGCCTTCTGTCCTGCATAGTGAGTCCTGGCAAGAGAAGGAGTGGCAGCTGCGAGCCAGAGTGAAGAGGGTCCTGCCTGTTGACGTGCACCAGCCTCTGCCCCTGGGTGCTGGGAGCCTGGCACCCCTGCCTGCTGACGCCCTGGTGTCCACCTTCTGCCTGGAGGCTGTGAGCCCAGACCTTGCCGGTTTTCAGCGGGCCCTGGACCACATCACAACCCTGCTGAGGCCTGGGGGGCACCTCCTCCTCATCGGGGCCCTGGAGGAGTCGTGGTACCTGGCTGGGGACGTCAGGCTAGTGGTGGTGCCAGTGTGTGAGGAGGAGGTGATGGGGTCCCTGGTGCATAGTGGTTATGAGGTGAGGGACCTGCGCACCTATACCATGCCTGCCCACCTTCGAACAGGTGTAGATGATGTCAAAGGCATCTTCTTCGCCTGGGCTCAGAAGAAGGTGGGGGTGTGAGGGCCCAGTGTACCCAGTGCTGACATTCTTATCCACCCAGATTCCCTATTATCTGATGTGGTACCAAATAAAGACATAAATTATCTCTGCTGAGTGTCAGCACTGTCTGTGGCTCTCCTGGGAAGTAACAAGGGCCCTGAGCTTTCTCTTGTTCTGTGGGGGTGTGGGAGCCACCAACTCTCATCTTTTTTTTCCAGAAGCTTCCATGAAGGTATGTTTCTGTACCATGCATTCTTCCCAAACTAAGCAAAGCTAAGGTCAGAGGGAGCTCAATCAGCATTTGCTGTGTGCCAGGCATCTACTACGTCCCTTCAGGCCTCACACTCAGAAGCAGATCCTGTTATTCTGCAAGTGGAGCTCAGAAAGGTTACTCAGCAAAGAGTAGTAAAGCCTAGTTCAGACAAGAAGGGGAGGAAAGGGGGGATAATTAGGAGCCTGAAGTAGAACTTGCAGGGGTGGGGTTTATAATCCAGGTACAAAGGGCCAGGAAAGTGAGAGGGGAAAAACTAGCACCAGCTCCCTTCCCAGCAACCTCCTGCGCCACCGATGGAGGTCTGCCAGGATCTGCTGTTGCTCTGCTATCCCCACCTCCACATGCCTAGGTAGAGACTCCTCCTGCCTATTGCTTCCAGCCACTTCTGTCTCCTCCAGTCCACCTTACCCACACAAATGAGCAAACAAGGATAGGTGAGGCTGAGAATTGGTTTATTAGCAATGTCCCTTGCTATCCTCTTACCTTAAAATAGCTTTCAGTATCAAAAGAATCTAACACAGGTCACCCAAGTCCCTGAGGTTGGAGTCCTAGTGCAGCGCCCCTACTCCCAGGAAGGAACAAGACTCCAGACACCCCTGCTCCAATCAGAGAGACTGCTTTGGGATGGAAAGTTCCTGGAGCTCCACATTCTATCCTTATGGAGAAGAATGTACTGGGGCTGCTGGCAACTGGCAGGGGTCACCTTTAACACAGGGCAGGCACAGCACGGCCCCTGCCTGCCTCTGCAAAGGCCAGAAACCAGACCAGCCACAAGCCTTCTCCCCTCCTCCCTCAGATTGCCCTTCCCTCTCTCCAAGGTTCAGACCGTGGCAAAAGGGTTAGCAGGCAGGGCACTGGCGGAGGGGGGGAGGCCAACCATGCCTAAGCAAGGAGACAGGAAGGCTGGAGAGGCCCAGAGGATCCCGATTTCCCTTCCTGCCTCTGTTTCCTGGGGAGCTGGTTCTGGAGGGTGATCTTGATTTGTGTGCAGGCTCTAAGAGGTTTAGAAGGGGACTGTAAAGGGAGCAATGGACAGGAACACAGACACTCACAGGCAGCCTGGATACCTGCACCACCAGCCAGATCTTGGGGATATCCTGACTCTCTCTCTGGCCTGGGCCCCTGGTCAAAGTTGGTGTTCCATTGGTGACTTGATTCCCCCCATCCTACTCCAACATCCCCCCACTATCTGGCCTACTCACCTACACTCACACTCATCTCACACCCAGTCCATGCCTAACCCACACTAACCTGCTCATCCCCCCAAACACACTTTACAACCACTCACACCCTCCCCATACTCTCCACATTACACCAGACTGGTGCTCTCACACACTGTCCCACTCAGCATCCCACACACCCCAGGCCTGTGCCTACGGGGCCATCGCCCATGCGCTTGGTCTGGTTCACACTCCCTTACATACTAGTGTGCAGGCTCTCAACTAGAACAGCAGCATGGAAGCCGGGTGCTCTGGGGTCCTGGCTCCAAAGCAGGAGTGTGGTGGGGCCTCCTGGGGGTCTGGCTGGGGCAACAGAGTGAGAATGCTCCCGGGTCCCGCAGCTTGGTCCTTCAGATCCCATGGGGAGAAAGAGGCCTGCTTTGAAACTTGGACAGCCAAAGAGCAAGAGTCTACTGCCACCTAGTGGTGCCCTGGAGAAGGGCATGGGGCAACAGGGGGACACTATTGCATCTCCAAAGGCCAAAGGTACCTTGTGTCCCAGCTAGACAGAGGGCTCTGGGAAACACAGAGGCAGTGAGGGGATGTAGGGAGGCTGACAGGGAGGCAAAGACAGTTCTCTTCTGTGTGGAGCTAAGAGTTCCACTCCAGGAACCAGAGGCCCTGCCCATTCTCTGGCCCCGGATACTGAGAGGCCAAGGCTGAATAGATATCAAGACCTTGAGGACCCCGTGGGGGCAAGCAAGGGGGTGGGTAGGGAACGTGATTCTGGGCCCACACCCTCTTGTCCAAGTTCAAGATGCAAAAGGAAAAAAGAAATCATCTCAAGGCTTGGAGGAGAAAAGGGAGCCAGCAGGGAGGGGGCAGGATCCCCAACAGGGCACCTGCTGCCAGGGCCTTCAGTCCAGCTTGAACTTGGCCTCTGATTCCTTCAGCAGGTACAGGCTGTCATCTTCCAGAAAGCTGTGGGCCAAGGGAGAAGCCCACTGAGGCACAGCTCAGAGAGCCCCCTGGGGTGGGGAGGGGCTAGTGCAGGCAAGCTGGCAGGGGCAAACCACACGGACTCTGTCTCCTCTAAAGCGGGCGAGGAAGGGCACAAAGAACGTGAGCCCTGGGCACCCACCTGAAGAAGAGGACGTGAACAGGGATGGTGCTGATATGCCAGATGGCATGGGCGTCCAGGACCCAGAAGAGAGGTGGGAAGTCAAGCAGCTCGAGCAGGGATAGACCTTGCAGCAGCAGGACTGCCAACATGCACTTGCGCACATGCGGCAGTCGCCGCCGGTTCCACAGGCACCAGGCAAGCCACCACAGCACGTTCACCAGGCCTGGGTACGTGCAGGTGGGAGGGGCTCACTTCGGGGACCTCCTCCTCCCGACAAAGCCTCCCCAGCCATGCCCTTAGACCCTAGGGCCATCCTCAGACCCTCCTCCCAGCCTCCCCTCTTATTTGCTGTTCCTCCCACTTCCCCACCACGTCTCTCAAGAAGCTTCTTCTCCAAGAACAGCACACAGTCCCACCTTCACCCCACATGATGTAGCTCCCTGGGGCCCCAGTCCCATCTCATGCCTCACCGATAGCCACATTGACCGCCAGGTTGTAGCCGTAGTCGAAGTGGACAAGGCTCAGGTAGGAGACATGAGTGATCAGCATCAGCAGCAGGAGGGCCCGGAATGCAGAGACCACCACGGGGCGCTGCAGCCCCACAGTCCTGCCATGCCAGCCAGAGCTGCTCAGAGGGAGGCAGCCCCTCCCCAGCATTCCCTGAAGCACCCCTCAGCCTTGCATCAGTGGTAGAAGCCACCGCCCCTCTCCCCACCAAACATGCCAGCTGGGCAAGCCTACAATCCCCTGGGAGCTCAGGACCAAGAGCTGCAGCTCCTAGGAAAGAGCCAGGGCCTCCAGTCCCACCCCAGAGTCCCCATCGAGGACAGCTTGAAGGGTACTGTGTGTGTGTTGGGGGATGGAAAGGGCCCTGGGAAGAGTACCACCAGGGAAGGCTGGGGGACTCCTTTCTGCTCCTAGGACCTGATTTGGCCCCTGCAGAGGCCAAGATGCGCTCACCTGACACAGCACAGATAGACCGAGTGCAGGATGACGGTGGAGGCGCAGAAGTAGTCCATTTTCTGAGGACAGGGAGAACCGGGTGAGGGGCCAGTGTGAGGGGAGTAGGAGGTGGACAGGGCGTCATGGAGGCCTGGGGCTGGGGGTGGAGGGGTAGCAGGGGCAGCTGGAGTCTAACACAGGAGCCACAGGCCTATGGTCAGTATGGTCCGTGGCTCGTGCTCCTTCTGCTTATTGCTGTTTCACTCCTGTATCTAACAGACTGACCCTTGTATTCACATATATAACTTTAAAAAAAGTGCTCGGCAGTTGGGCTTTGAGGCATTGGTGGAGGGTGCCTCCTGAGACTGGAACATAAGAGAACGCCATCGAACTCAGAGCACAGCCCAGCACTCGGCAGCGGGGCTCAGGTCTGGACTGCACCTCTTCCTGCCTGGGTCCTCCTGGGCGAGAGATTTCATCTTTTCAAGGCTCAGTTGCCTAACCAGGTAAGAAGAGCCAATAATCACACCTACCTCACAAGGGTCAAGCACGGCTCAAGGGTACTACTAGGCTTAAATGTCTAGTGCACAGCAAGTGCTGTGTGACTGGAGTCAGTGTGAGGCCTGTGAGAGGGCTCTGCCCCATCCCCTTGGGATCCTTAGGGACTGTCCCAAGTTGGAGGCGGGGCAGGAGGGGCGCTCACCTCTGTGAGGTCAGTGTCCTTGGTGTGGAAGACTGTGGACCAGAACCAGGCATTGAGGGAGACCTGTAGGGAGGGGGCTGGTAAGCACGGCGCCCCAGGGCGGGGAAGACCTCTAGAGGGTTCACATCTGTCTCACTTTTGGGAAACGCTTTGGAGCAGAGAAACATGCTTCCTCTTGTCCCTGGAGCCCACCGAACAAATCCATGCCCCTCCACCCCCACCCAGGCTGGTTCCCTCAGGCTGAGCTTCCAGCCACCCTGAGCCCCCTGGGCCACAGGGGCTGCAGCCTCCACAATTCCAGACCGGCTGGGGACTGGGGAACCAGTTCTGGCAGAGCCAAGCTCCCTGCTTACTCAATCCCTAAGACAACAGCCCCCAGGGGCCTCGCCTCCACCCCCACTGGCAGGTGATGACAGCCCCACCTGGGCCAGGGGAGCCAGTGACCTCAGCCTTTGTGGGCGGGAATGAAGTGGGTGCGGTGGAGGGGCTCAAGCCAGCTTGGGGTGTGTCCTGAGCTAGCAAGCAAGTGAGGGAGATCAAGCAGATCCCACTGGGGCCAAATCTCCAAGGAGGAGCCTGTCCTTCCTCCTGGCTGGGCCTGCCCAACCTGCCAGACCAGTGGCTGCTGCTGCGAGTTCTGGAGGAACAGGGCTGAAACAGCTGTGGAGGGCAAGGGCCCAGGGAATGTTTGAGGCCCTTTTCCTGGAAATTAACTGCAAGGAAAGAGTACAAATCATCTTGCAAATGAGCCCTGGATCTCGTGGGAGTTCACGCTGGTACTTTTTTCAGGATCACTGTATCCAGGGCAGAGACCCAAATCATGGCAAGAAGGGTGGGCTGGCGTGGAGGTACACATCCTGGGTTGGGAGGAAGGGCTGGGAAACCACTGACAACCAGTCTAAGGAGGGAACAGCCAGGCAAAGTCTGGCCTGAATTCCCTGGAGGCAGGGAGGGCTGTGCTAGGGTGGGCCTGGCCTACCAGAGATGGGTAAAGGTCAGGACCTGCCTAATATACCAGGAAAACTGGCCAGGCAGGGGAGAGTGGAAGCAGAGCGAGAAGCCACTCTCCATGCTTCTCTCTTCCTTACTGCAGCAGGAAGGTCAGACAGTAGGAGGGGTGCCCAGCACAGGCCTGAGGGGGCTCATGAGAGAAAGGAAGAGCAATCGGGTGGAGGCGGGCAGAGTTCTGCTGCAAAGCCAGTCAGCACTGGAAGTCTCTGGAGGCTCGGGTGGCCTGGTGTAAGCCAGTCTGGCCTGGCTTCCAGGCTGAGTCTTGCTGCTCATGCTCCTCATGACCTGGGCAAAGGCCCTTCCCTTCTAGCCTGAGCTCTCCCCTGGGACGAATCAGAAGCTGGCCTAAGTGACCCTTCGTCCCTTCCCAGCCTTGATGTCAGATTGCTTCCTCCTCTGATGCCGGCCATCCTGTCCCATTCCTGGGGCTGCCCCTTCCCAGAGATGGTAATGGAGGCATGGTCTAGAGGCTGGAAAACAGGACAGAACAGGGTGGCTTCTCAGATACTGCAAAGTCTGTGATGCTCAGTGTCATTGTGGGGAGAGGAGCATGCTCGGGGCTAGAGACAGGGCCCAGGTCTCACATGGGCCTGGTGTCCTGGGCAGGCCAGGAACAGGGACATTCTTGGGGAGAACACCCCTGTTGCCAGTATGAGAGAGAGGTAGAGGGGAAGGCAGCAGGGACTGGCAGCCAGCCAGGCCTCCTTGTCACCCACAGCAGGAAGGGGGAGGTAGCAAGAAGACTGAGCTAAGTGGCAGTTCGGACACTTAAAGCAGGGGAGGCGGTGCACATGGCCAGGACTTAGCTTGATAGGATAGAGTTGGGGCTGCTAGGTCTTTTCCAACCACCTCCCCAGGGTGCCTTCCACTTCCAGAGACCCACCTGAAGCCTGGACTCTGTCCCCTGAAAAGTCCCCTCTCCCCTGGGGAGTGTCCCATTATGGGAGGCTCCTCTTCTGACCCTCTCTTCAGACTTGGGAGATAGTGTCATTAAGAATGCAGGCCCTAGGCCAGACTGCCAGGGTTCAAATCCTGGCTCTGCATTTCCTGTGTGTCCTTGGGCAAGTTATTTAGTTTTGTTGTGTCTCAGTTTCCTCACATGTAAAATGGGAACAATCATAGTGTTGATAAGGATTTAATAAGCAATAAAAGTACAGGGTACAGCACAATGCCCAGGACAGAGTGAAACATACCCACTTTGCTGACCAGAATGAGACCCTCACATCTCTCCACAGACCGGAAGCCAAGTCTGCCCCTCTGCAGACCAAGGAAGTCCAGGTGGAGAGGAGATGGTCTCCCTACAGTTGCCTAGGCCCATCCCACAGTCCCAGGCTGGGGGCAGAATGTCCAGAGCCTCCACAATGAGGCCGACCCAGGGCTCAAGTTCTGCCTTGGCCCCTAAATAGCTGTGTGATCTTGAGCAAATAACAATTTCTCTGAGCTGCCTCATCTACAAACAGGGTTAATAATAGTATCCATTGCATAAGAGGGTCCTGGGGTTGATGTTTGTGAAATGCCAGGTATGAAGAAGCCTTTCAATAAATGGTTGCTGCTATTGTGGCCTGGAATAAAGCAGGGGCCCCATAAATGTCAGTTTCCTTCGTCAAGTCCAGCAGGCTAACCCCTATCTTTTTTTCCCTCAGGGATCACAATGTTTTACGTCACACCCTGAGGCCCCAAGTCGCCTGATCCCAGAATGTGGCTATAGGAAGAGTCCTTCCTTGCTCCCGAGCCACTGTGCCACTAGGATGCACTGCAGAGGTAATACTCTCTTCACTCAGAGCTGGTGGTCAGGACTTAAGCAGAGGAGACACACGGCTACTGAAAGAAGGGAAAGCCTCGGAGACGCAAGCGTGTGGCCACCCTGAACTCCTCAGCCACGCTTGAGTAGAATGGGGGCGGGGGGGACATGGGGCAACTGGCCAATCAGAGAGGCCAGGAGGGCAACAGGCTGGCCCAGCAAGTGCCAAGAAGTTGGAGTAAACACTGAGGAAAAGGGAGGCTGGGGGCAGGGTGTCAGTGAGGGGAGAAGTGGAGGGGGACAGAGAAGGCTGGGTGACAGAGAGCAGAAGGGTGTTTCAGTCTGTTGGAAAGCAAGGAAACTGAGACAAAAATATCACAGCCGTGAAGCTGGTTGGATGCCAAGTGAGCCAGATCTGTCAGGAATTCGACCCCAGTGCTAAGCCCCAGTGCTCGGGGCTGTCACTGACACCATGGCAGTGGGGACATGTGGGTCTTTAAATAGCTCAGTGTCTCAGAAGTGGAGGAGGCAGAATGTTAAATATGACGCCTGCTGCCATCCTGAGTGCTCCCCCACCACCAGAGGCCATGGTGTCTCACCCCCTGCCTCCGGCGGGGCAAGCCTGCCCCTGTTCCCTCCTGAAAGAGAAGGAGGTAAGAGGCGGACAGAGTTGGGAAGAGAAGGGCTTTTTCCGCTATCAATAGGATTCCTTGATTTCCTGCCATTGCCTGTTCCACTGGCCCTTGTCTGACCCTAGGGAAGTCCCTCCTTAAGTCTAGCCATCATTCTGCTGCAGCCTCAACCCATCTCTTCTTGTACTGTCCTCAGCAGAGGTAGAGCAGTCAGTCCCCCCTGCCACCAATCATCCTGCAGAGACGGAGGGGAGGGGGGCTTTCCTGGCATCCTCACTCTCTCACCTCTACTCCTGAGGCCCTTTCTTTGCTGGATGAAGGAGGGGAGAACTGGTTTGGCCTCCGAGCTTTGGCAAGCAGCAGGGCCCCCCAGTTCCATGAAGTCAAAGTTCTGTGGTGTGAAGAGTTTTGGTGAACTCCCCTAAAGCTTGGCTACTGCCAGCCCAAGCCCAGGTCTAAATGTCTAGACAGAGACTGCCTTCTTGTGCCAAAGCTTCATTACCCCCGCTGGGGGCAGGGTCTCCTCATTTCCCAGAGAATAAGACTGAGGTAACCCACCCCACACCAAGACCTAACCTGGAGCAGGTGAGGGCCCTTCCTACCCCACCCCAACAGAAATCAGGAGTCCCACTCCCTCCACAAGACCCAGCCCAGGACAAAGTCCACTGCCACACCCTCTACACAGCTCAGAATCCCTCCCTCCTGCAAACACATACACACACATACACATACAGGACTAAAGATCAAGTGTAAAATCCAAACTGGATCATCAAAGGGAGTGTGGTTCTGAGACTGTCCCTCAAGGACCTAGTGGTGGCCAAGGGGGTTCCATGTTCCAGAACCCCAAATCCCACAGGATGCCTTAAGACACAGGCCCAATGTATCTGCCCTCTCCCAACCTAACATCTCCTGCTCTGTCCCTGAGGGTCCTCAGTCACTCTGAATGACAGGGCACCCCTGGGAGGCATGGCCTTCACCAGGAAGGAAGATGAGTGGCAGATGCCAGGGAAATGAAAGCCCAGATCAAGAATCAGGGAGATTAAGACCAGAGTTGCAAAGTGAGCACATGGTCCTTGGCACATGTCATGAGGACAAACACTGGGGTCCTCTGAGGTCCCCTCAGATCCACAGGTCTATCCAGGGGGACTCTGCACTTGTTCAGAGAGTTCACGCAGGGCTGTCCTGTCTCTCTAATAGAGGCAGGGGCCGGGGGTGGCGCAGACAGTGGGCCCAGAAAGCAGTGTCCCTGGAAGAGCCCCAAAGGATAGGAGACAGGTATGCCCTTCTCAGTTTCTCTGCCCTTCCTGCTTTCTTAGCGAGGACCAAATTCCCTTCTCTGAAAGAGGCCTAAACAGGAAGTGTTGCCTCTATCCCAGCCATGCCTGCGACAGTGTGCCCTGATGCCAGTCCCCTGCCTACACCAGTCCTGTCACTCAGGGCCCTCTCTGCTCCATCTTACCTTCCTCTGCTCCTCTTCATGCAGCCAGTGTGGCCAGGCTGACCTTCCTGAGGTTGCCTGTCAAGGTCCCTCACTCTCCGTGTTTGGCACCGTCGTCTCTGCTGTGCGCCAGCCTGGAAGGCCAGACTCCAACAACCTCCTCTCCCTACGTAGGTATGTGTCTACACCTCACCAGACCTGAAAGTCCCAGACAAAGGCTCTCCTCCTTCCTGGGCCTCCCTGACCGACTCCTGCCTTTAAGCGATGTGGTCCCCCCGCTGTACCGCTCCCGGAGCTCTGTCTGAGCCCTCCTCGGCTCTGCCTGCATTCGGCCTCCCAGGAGCTGCACCTGCACCTCCCACCAGGCTTAGCTTCCTGGGGCAGGGGTCTCAGCTCCCACAAGGCAAACCCTGTCTCTACCCACAGCAAATGTTCAACAAACACTTATTACAGCCTAGGAAGACAGCCCAGAAGAGGGGCTAAGTGTTCAGACAGCCCTGGATGCCAACCTGTCCCGACTAGTGACAGGTTGTTAACTAGTGACAAGTTAACTTGTTACCTGTTAACTCTGGCAAGGTTTTCCCCCTCTGAGCCTTACTCAGAGCTCACAGTGGTATTATGAGGACTGCATGAAAAAGGTAAAAGTACTTGGGACAATGCCCATCATGGGATCTGTGCTCCATAATTCATAACAAGGTATTACCAACATTTGTTGAATGGAAAAGATTAGGGAGAATCAACATTTCCCAGAAGCTTAACAGTCTCCTTTTCTGCCTCCTCCTGATCCCCATCTCCCAAGTCTGAGGCTTGGCCTGGACTTGGTCAGCTGCACATGTTCAGTTTTCTTAAGGTCCTCAGAGACCCTGGGGCCACCAGGTTCAGGGGCACCATTCAGTTCTCTGACTGTCCAGCAGAATTCAGAAGAATGGCCGACTCTCTCCTTCCCATCCTTGTCCCAGGGCTTTCTAACCACACCTAATTTTCTACCAAGCTCTCTGACCAGTCCATTGCTGGTTCCATTGCTGGCTCATCCTCCTCCATCCAGCCATTAAGTTTTGGGGGTCCTTCAGCTCCATCCTAGGTCCCTCCTCTTCTCAGTTGCCCCTCAGTGACCTCATGTATAATCACAGTTTCTATCACTGTCTCATAAGTGGGAACACGGGGGTCATTCTGACTCCTCTCTCCTCATCTAACCATGGCCAAGATGCTATGAGTATGAACTCTGGAGCCAGATGCCTGGTTTCAAATGCTGCCTCCTAGAGCAGGTGGCTTAACCTTTTGGATTCTGGGTTTCCTTATCTGGAAATGGGATAATAATACTACCTACCTCATAAGCTTGCTATGGAATTAACAAGATTAATATTTATAAAATGCTTAGACTGGTGTCTGGCATAGAGTATGAGCTGTGTATATGTTTGTTACATAAATAAAATTAATTTAAAACATTATAAAGCCACATCCAAAACATAGCTCACATTCTTCTTTACTACCCCCCCTCCCAAGACCCATGCCATCCCTCTAGTGTAGCTACTGTTCCATATGCTGAAACTACTAACTAGGCCCCTACATCCATCTGCCCACCTGCCTACCTGTCTCATACCAACACTCCCTGGCTTCCTGCATGGCAGGCTTCCCAGCCTCTCAGGTTCTCAAATGACTTACACTCTCTCCTGCCTGTGCATATTCTGAGTTTTCTGTGTAAACAACTCCTCCTGACTCCTACTCTCCATGAATTCACTTAGTTAACATCCACTCATCATTCTGATCCTACTTTATATGCCCGTTCCTCAGGACACCTTCTCTGATTGCCCTGTTCTGGTCTGGTGCCCCATCACAAGCCCCTACAGCACTTCCACTGTACTTCTCCAGAGTTGTGCTTTTACACTGTTATGTGCTTGTGCAATTAGTACCAGAGGGCAGGGACCTGTCTATGTTTATAGACTTTTGGATCTCCAACATCTAGCAAAATGCAGGGCACCTAGTTGGTACTCAATACAAGAATGAATGGTGGCTTTGATGGCAGGAAGGTGAGTGAGTGGAGATCATTTCCCTAAGGCTTACAGTGGTGGTTCTGATAGGGAGACATCCACTACAACCTCTTACATTCACACCCTCCCCAAGGTTGTCACAGTTCATATCTGTTCCCTAGTCCAGGCTTCTCACACAATTCCCAGGGCCTAGATGCTGGCCCCTCTGACCAGTTACACTGTGAAGCCCAGAACCCTCTCTGGATACTCAGATGGAACATATTTCAGTCTCTCTAGGGATGTTCTAAGACTAGGCTGGGCTCTAGACAATGTTGTGGCTTGCCACTGCTGCCAGGACCAGGCTGGGGTTGAGATTGCTTCGCGTCCTCTATAGGGATCCTTAGAACGACCATGGTCCCATTATGCTCTCTATGACCCATCTTCCTTCTGGGTTGTAAATTGCCTTATGGGTCTTTTGGTGACTTTTCCCTTCAGGAAAAAATGCTTCTTTCCTCTCTCCTTCCCTCCCAAACAGCCTGGCCTAAGACTGCTAGAAAGGTAAGGTCCAATTTAGCACCTTCCATGTTTTCTCCTGAGGCCTGACCATCCACAGCTGCAGGTTCAGCCCTGGAACGTTTTAGAGAAGCTAAGCTAGAGGAAACCCTATTGGTTGAGAATGGGGATCTAAGGGTTCCTCCTTCATAGATAAGGTTGTAGAGCAGGAATCCTGCCAAGTTACCTACCCAGGCAAAGGCCACGCAGGTGGGGTACATAGGGGAGGAGGCTGGCACGGAGGTGTGGTAGCGGCAGAGCATCACCAGGCTGGCCAAGCCATTGAAGAAAGAGGCCATGGCAGAAGCTGGCTCTTGGAAGAACAGGAACCTGGAGAAGGGCCACTGGAAAAGGAGCACATGGAGGGGGCCTGAAGAACAAGCAACTCCCAGCCTACCTTTTCTTGACATACTGCATCAACAGAGCCTCAGCTGCTTCCTCAGTTTCTAGACCTCAGCCAAAGCCTTGGGTTCAGCCTCTGGCCAATGAGCTCCCCTCCAGTCCCTGGCTGAGGGTCAGCCCTCTATCCTGGCCAGCATTTACAGCACTGTAAGGCTGGTCTCCGGGAAGACGAGGTGGGCCAATATAGATGTCTCAGAATGGTCTGGTGGAAACAGTACAGACCTGCCATTCCCAAGACAGAGGTCCCAATCCCACCTTCACTACTGACCACAGCCTTCTGGCCCTCAGCTCGTTCTTTGACAAATTGGGGAGAATTAATTCTTGCCAACCTCAACAGGCTAGAACAAGATCATATTGGATCAGAAGGCACCAGCACACCAGGCCTTGCTGGGTAATCTGAGGGTGTATCACTATTTTAATCCACATTCTTACTGAAGAACCAACAGGAAGCATGCTGTGGTGGGTCAGTGAATTTGTCCTTGGAGCACGGCGGGCATTTCACCACCCTAAGAAGCCCAGCAGCACTTTCTGAGGAGACCCCAAAGCCTACCAAATATTGTTACTCCACATACAGAAGTAGAACACACTGGTCCCATGTGATTACACGAAAACCAGCAGATTCTAAGAAGCACAGGTACTTGCCCCAAACACACAACCATCACCCCACTCCTCAGAGGGCTTAGACAGTGTGGTCCAACTGGGGTGGGGATCTTACTTTTACCATACTTCCACCATATAGCTATGCTGACCCTCCAACTCACCTTGCCATGGAACTGAGGCACTCTGTGACCTTCCTGGAGGTAGAGGCCAACAGTGACCCACATACACTCATACTTACAGTCGTCCTGACAGGTCCAGCCTGAAACAGATAAATATGACCTGGTGAACTCCCCAGCACAGGGAGGCACAGAGGAAGTTCAAATAAGGACCAAGAGTAAATACGGGTCAAGAAAGTCTGCAGGTTGGAAAAAAACAGAAGAAATCTCAAAATCCTAGCTTCCCACATGGATGGATGAGAGATGGTTCGACATACAAATAAGGAAGTGTGTATGTGTGTGTGTGAGATTAAGGGATGTATGAGCAAATAAGAGATGTTCTTTTTCTTTAACATAGTATGGGGATTTTGGCATCTGATGGATTCATTTTTGTGGATGCCTGAGTTTATGTCCGCCTTTCCTGAACACAGGATTTTCTCTCACTTGCCAGGGAGGAATCCTTGCTATGAAAATGAAGCCCAAATTCTCCAGTCTGAGTTTGAAGCCCCAGATCACTTTTGCAACTTTATTTCCCACTACTTCTTTTCATGTACCCTGATCACTGAGTAAACCAAGCTGCTGGATGTGTCCATAACTGCCCAGGGCTTCCACTCTCTGCTCCCTCTGTCTGGAGTGCAAAAGGGTAGTAAAGAAAACAAACTTGTAGTCAAACAGACCAGAAACGGAAACTCCACTTTATCACTTATTGGCTGTGTGACTTTAGGCAGGGCACTTAACCCTAGTTTCCCCATCTGTAAAATTGGGTCAAGAGAAACTACTCCAAAGGGTTGCTGCGAGAATTAACTGACATATTGTGACAACTGTAACACAGTGGGTAACCACTATAGCCACAGTTCCAAATTCAATGTATCCATCCGGAAGCCCTTCCTTCACAGACTGTTCCAAGATGATCACCGCCCCTACCCGTCAAAGCTAGACCCGATTTCTTCCTCCCACTATTGCTTAAGCTAAGGGTCCTTTAGGGCTCATATAATACTCTACCTTGAAGTTGAGAGAGCTAATGTTCCCGTGGGGGCTATGAGACCAAAAGGTGTGCTTATGGTCTGATTTCGAGGTCATTCCAGGGCCTCATACCCAAAAGTATTAAAGACCCAGCTGGCTGAATACAAAGTAAATGAAAGCTTCTGGAAAAGTAAAACTGGTTGGTAAGGTTCTCATTACCGTGGGGCTACACTCACGCACACTCACAACGGACCCCCAGAGATTGCAAAAGGATGCGTGGGGGGCATGGGGCGGGGCCAAGACCAGGGGGCGGTACTTAAAGCAGGGTGGGGCTTACCTGCTAGACTCATGTAGATTGGCTGGCGGGAGCGGAAGTGCTTCAGAGCACCCCCCGAGCAGTTCCGCTCCTCGCACCGGAGCACGCAGTCGCGGTATATGGGTTCGCGGTCCCCCTGAGAGCAGCTTGCTAGCGCGGCTGCCCCGGCTAGTAGCACCAAGCGCGCCGTCTGTCCGGCCATCCCTTCACCCTGGCCTTCTGCCGGCGGAGGAGCTTAAGAGACCACTTCCGGAGTAGCCGGAAGTGCCTTGTGTTCTGTATTCTACTCTCCGCTGACTTTCACTCAGTTTAAATAAAAGTTCCCGCAGTTTGGGGGCTCCTGCCCCGCCCCTCGTCTGTCAGCTCCATACATCGAGGCGACAGAGTTAAGGAAAGGGGAACGCCCAGGTGGGTTAAGGAGCAAAATTAAGTCGTCTTTTTTCAAAATCTGTCTTGTTTCTTCCCCATCGTCTTTTTATTTTTAGGTAGGGCTATTTTCCTGTCATTAGCCCGTCGGATTTCACCTCCTTACGTACCTGTAACTGTCCCATTTCATTCCGTTTCACTGGTACCACCCTGGTTGAAGACATCATAGCCTCTTGACTAGTCGTCCTGCTTCTGCTTTTGCCCCCTCCCGTCTGCGCTCCCTTTCCAAACATTCAAATTTGACCATGTCACTTTCTTAAAATTTTTTACTGGCACCCAACTACCACAGGATAAAATAATAATTCCACAAGCCCTGTACGATCGGCCGTTGGCATCACTCTTACTCTCACTTCTGTTAAGACTCCCACTTCTAGTCTCAATTTAAACACCACTTCTGAGGGTGATTTAAACAGAGATCTATTTTCCCCACGCAGGGTAGGACCTCTGCTGTCTGGTTTACCACTCTACTTCCAGTACTAGTACAGAATTTGGCAGATTGCAGGCTCTAAGTTTTGTTTGTTTGTCTGTTTTTTGGTTAAATGAATGAATGAACAACGTAACTGAACCTTGGAATTTGTCAAATCCAGGCTGTCAAATAACTAGCCGTTCAGACCACGCTGAAATAGAAGAGGTGTAATATTTCAAGGAAAATTAAGGGGAGGACTTTGGGAATAGAATACTTGTCTTAATATCCACCCCCTTCTCCCTGTAGTACCACCACCCACGCGCGCGCACGCACATACACACACACTCCATCTCATTGGGCATTGAAACCTTGTAGCTAAGTGCATAATTAGTGAAGGTAGATTAATGACTGCCTTTCCCTCTCCCCCACCCCTTCATCCTCCTCAACTTCTCCTTTTTATGTTGGAATGTGGAATGAGTAAGATGTAAAATCAGATTTCATTCATTCACTTATTCAGCAAGCATTTCCTGAGCCCTTACCTCTAGCACATGCTAAGCAAGGCAGAACAGGAGGCACCATTCATATTGCATTTGCTGCGAAGGGTGCTTCTTCCAGTTAAATATAACATGAATGGTGTCCCCTGGAGTTAAACACCCAGCTGACACATCGCAAAGCTGACACAAACAAACTAAACAACCACCAAGCCCTCCAGGAGCTGACCAGAAACGATCTGGTGCTAATACTATTTTGCATCTGATAGGTCAGTCCTTTTATAACACATTAGTTTATTTTATCCTTACCATAACTCTGGGATGAATCTTTTTATAGGATCTCCATTTGAAGATGAGGAAATTTAGGATTAAAGAGGATGAAATCCTGACGAAGCGGATTTATGTAGAGTGAGAACTCCTACATAAAAATATGTTCCAATTTTAAGGAAACTTTTAAGATTCTAGTTTTGGAGGCCTTGTCCTATATTATATCAAATATGTTAAAAGAAAAGGACAAATGTAAAAAGAAAATATAATGTAGTCAAAAGTGTTGATGTATATTTTTGGATAATATAATAACAGACATGAAAATAAAGGAATGGGAAGGGTAAAGAAAAAGAAAAGGGAAGGCTACTCTGACTGGGTGGTCAGAGAAGGCCTTTTTGCAAAAGTGACACTTAAGCTCCAGAAGGAACCAGCCCTGCTAACACCTGGGGTTAGATTGTTCTAGATGAGGGAACAGCCAGTGCAAAGGCCCTAAGGCAGGAACTTGGCATCTTTGAAACACAGAAAAGAAGCCTGCCTGGCTAGAAGGCTGTGGGGTTGAAGTGATAGCCAGAGACCAGATGTTATCAGGGCTCAGGTCGTGATCAAGAGTTTAGGCAATGGGAAGCCTTTTGGGAGGTGTTTTAGTGCTGGAATGGACAAATGGTTTGATTTATGCTGAAAACATTTAGTTTGGTTGCTGAAGGGAGAACAGCAGGGTGGCGGGTGGGGGGATTGAAAAAGGGCAAGAGCAATACAGAGGAGATCAGAGGCTAGTGCTTTAGCCCAGAGATAGAGGCTTAGATTAGCTAGTGGTGGAGGTGGGAAAAGGATGCATGTATTAGAAGAGGAATCAATAGATCTTAAAGAATGATTGGATGTAAAAAGGAAAGAGAGGTATCAACAATGTGAGTTCAGTGGAAATCATCTGACACTGGAATTGGCACCCTATATCAAGGCTTAGTGATTGCCATAGTTTCATACTTCTGGAAGCTTCCTAGTCTCCTCTTCCCCAAATCAAAAGCCAGAGACAAGAGTGTCCTCATTCATACCCCAGAGGTCTGTATCTCCAGCAGCAAGCTGGGTGAGCTTGGGGTCCTGAAGGGCTGAGTAGAGCAGGAATTCAGTGTTTGAAAAACAAAGAATCTGAAATCCATCCGGAATCTGGCAGAGGGATGACTCAATGGAGCTTTCAAGGGACAAGCCCTGGGGTTTAAAAGGTCACTTGCCCCCACACCAAATCCTAAAACACTATGACCAGGAACCATTCATCCCAACTCTCTCATATTTCAGACAGCAAAGTGGAGCCTTATTCAAGGCCACACAGCCCAGCCACTGTCTGAGGAAAGAACTCCAGATAAACTGAGGGCACATGTTGATCTGCAGCATAAACACATGGACATCACAGGACACAGGAAAGCACAATTAAGCATGCAAGAAACTGTGACAGCCTCATGTGCTCAGGCTAGAATAGCAGCCATACATACTTCCTGTACATGCATTAAAGCAGGTGAGGCCAAGAGCACAAGAGTGTTTTTTTGTGTTGGCAAGGCAGCCTAGGGAGAGAAAAGGCCATCTCCCCAGGCCTTGGGCCTGCATTCCTGAGATCAGGGTGAGAGGGGCTGAGGGAGGTGATCAGCACGTGCAGGGGCCTTGCATCTGGCACATCAGTTTGGGCTGTGCTCATTTGCTAACTTCAGGACAGGTCTAGCCCTGGAAGTGGCCTCCCAGCGATTAAGTTGCAAGTATTCAAGTATTCTTAAAAGGCCACATTTAGGAAGGACAGATTTTCTTATCAGAAGCTTTCAAATTGCTCTTGGGTGACTCCAGGAAAGCCTTGTGCTTACTCTCTTGTACTCCTACCAAGAACCCAATTCATAGACATTTCCCACCACTCCATGCCCCAGGCTCAAGGCCCTGTGGGGTAGGCCCCAGTCTGTGGCCTGGACCTTGGACTGTGGACTGTCTCCTCCCTTTCTCTGTTTTCAGTCCTCTGAACCTAGGCTGGCTGGTGAGGTAGGCAGAGAGGAGAAGACTCTGGTGCCAGCATGTGCGCGCGCGCACACACACATGCACACACACAGCCTTCTGTGCCCCCGTCTTAGTGGCTAGTCAATGATTGACTGGCATTTCACAGGCTGCTGGTTCCAGACCCCAGCCTGTTGACCTTTAAGAGGTCACCCCCCTAAGCCAGAGGCCTGTCCTGCCTCTTCAATGCCAGTGGTCACATCCCATCCACTGCCCACAGGTTCAGTACCTGTCACCGAAGGACTCCTTGGGCAGATCTAATGCCTCTGCCTTCTGTCCCTGGGCTGTCTCTCCTCTGCCGTCCTGCAGTCACCCCTCCTCTGTAGCTGCCTCCCTCTCCAGGCCCTCACTGGACCCTCCTGGCAAACTCTCAGGCTCCTCTGGCAACCTCCCTCCTTCCCCCAACCCCCTTCCCCGCTGAGCCCCCCTCAGCCTTTGTCCCTCAGGCATCCTCTTTTTTAGCCTCTCTGCCCAGGCCCTGTTGGAGGGGCAGTTGAGGGGAGAAGCAAATCAACAGTGCCCACCCTGCCCCCTTCCTCTCCTCTTGTCAAAGACCAGACAAGGCTTTTTCCCCTTCCTTCTCAGCTCTGAATAGGCTCATTCTCTTTGGGAGACTGGCCCCCCTCAAGCCTCCTCCCAGGCGTGAGTTCTGACCCCCGCTCCTCCCCCATCCCCACTCCCGCTGGCTCCGCCCTTGCTAGGCAGCCCACTAGGACCCAGCATTGTCTCCAGTCCCAATTTCCTCCAGGAATCTGGGATGAGGAGAGGGACAGGAGTGCGGTAGGGGAGGTGGGATCTTTGTGGAGGCAGTTTCCGGATTTCTTGGAGGACCCTCCTCTGGCTGCCCTACTGGGGTCCCGGGAGAGGTGGGTTCCTGGCACCCTTGATTTGGACCTCTGGAGCATAACGGGTGAAGCCAGAGCTTTACTGGCTCAGTTCCCATTCCCTCATAATCTCAGGGTTCTTCTGCAAAATGAGGAAAGAAAACACCTGCTTCCTCTGGCGCCTCAAGGACTTGGTGAGATGAGGAGTGTGGTTCTAGGGCAGAAAATGGCACAGAGAAAGGATCCAGTAAATGATGGTGCCACAGCAGCCTTCTTGGCTAGGTGAACCCTTCTAACATAAGAGCAGGAGAGGGTGAGACCTGCAGGTGAAGGGACATAGCTAACCCTGAGCCTAATACCCTGATGGTCTCTTCAAGGCCGCATTGGCACACACCCAGGTGCCAGCCTCCAGTGTGGGGCCAGCAAGGGGCTCTTGGAACCAGGTCAGTGCCTCTTCTTCCCGACAGGCTGAGAGGCTGTGGTTCTGAGAGGCACCTTGACTAGGTCTCAGGCTGTGTAAAGGGGTGACAGTGAGGGGCTGGTTTTGCTGGTTGTTCATCTTTTTCCTCATTAGTCCTGAGACAGTCTGGGCAAATTTGTTAGGCTGTCTGATCCTTGTTTCCTTGATCCTTACCCTTATCTTGACTCTAAATCTAAAGCTAATCCTAGAGGAAATAGGGAGGTTGATGCCTATTCTGAAGGGCTGTTGTGTGTTCCCATGAATAGCAGTATTTCTTCAGTGTTTGTGACTATGATCTGAGGAATAAATCCACCATGTCATCACCCAGTACACACATACCCTGACCCGCACTTACCCTTACTACA